TCAGGCCGGCCTGAGTGCGGGAAGTGCCAGACTGCATTAATGGGAGAGAACATCAGGCGACAATCCTCACCCAGGCAGGCTTCTTCACCCCCACCCACCCACCCTCTCTCTCACCCGTCCCCGAGGGGCTTCGGTTGCGACCTCCTTCCCCAGCCCCCCTCTTGCCTCGGGGCTGCCCCACTGAGGCTCAAGGCCAGGTACATCCTTCCCGCAGGCCAAGGCGATCAGCCCTTCCAGCCCTCCCTGGAGGGAGCGGCCCAGGGCACAGCACTGGTTGCTGGGGTGCGAGACAAGGTTTAACAAATTAACAGTCGGAAGGGTCCTTGGAGGTCATCTAGTCCAACCCCCCTGCTTGATCAGGTGACCTGTGATGGCGAACCTACGGCACCCATGTCCAGCCTCTTCTTAAAATCCTCCAGCAATGGAGCCCCCAAAACTTCTACTGACTAAGAGGAAGCTTTCGTCCTCAGGGAAGTTCTCCCTCCCGGAATATTTATGGTTTCCTTTCAATGTTGTCATCCACCCAGAGTCACCCTGAGGCAAGATGGACGGCAAACGAGTTTAATAAATCAAAAATAAAATCTTTTGATACTTAATCATGATCATCTGTGTTTTTATGATTGTTCTTATAGTATTTTTTTTTACCACATTTGTTTGTGTAAAAATGTTTATTTGAATGCTGTACACCAGCTGAAATCAACTCTGGTGAGGGCAGAGACGGTATTTTGACTGATAAATCTATCTATCTGTAAAAAAGGCAAGTGCCGCTCACTCATCACAAAATCTCCACAAGTGTAAAGCCTACAAACCTGAAATTTGGCCCGTGTGTTCCTCTTGGCTCCTAGGCGCTCGCTAAGAAAGGATTTTCCGAAATGATCATCAGATCATTAGTATTTTTTATATAGTAATTAACATGCTCTAATGCTAAGGAGTTAGACATTCTACTCCCCCTCCCCACCCGAAAGGAACTCTGTTCCAACTGCCACTTGCCTCACATTCTGTTACCTCAGTTCAAAGTGGCAGAGGCTCCACTCCTTCACTCAGGAGCCGTCTGGGGCTCCTTACAGTACTAATCGTTGTACCTCACCAAAATCTCTATGCCTTCCACCTATGGAACCGCTTCCGCACTCAAGGCGGCAGGACCGGATGCCTCCACCCCCCACCCCCCAAAACATACACCAAGGCATTGTTCTTGCAAACGATTGTGGATTTTCTCCCTTAATGGAAGTGGTTCCATGAACCTCTAAGAGAGAGGTGGGGAAGGATGCCCCCTTGATGACTTGTGGACCTCAACTCCCAGAATTCCTGAGGCAGCCATGTTGGTTTAAGAATTCTGGGAGTTGAAGTCCTGTGATTGGTAGACTTCAACTCCCAGAATTGTATGGCTGGTTCGGGAATTCTGGGAGTTGAGGTCCACAAGCCACAATTCCCCTCCCTCTAAGGGCTCCCATCTCTGCCCTCCCCCCTTGTCTCTTATGCAGGAGACGCTCTTTTCCACAGGACGCCCGCGGGCGCCGGGATGACAGAGCGGGGCCAGCACCGTCTTGCCGCGCCACCTCCGACCGCCGGGGGCCGCTGTGGGAGAGGGGGGGGAAGAGGAGGAGGGGGCGGTGTTGGCGTTCCAACCGCTTCCGCCTGTGCCGGAAGTGCCGGGCGGGGCCATCGCCGCCAGCCGCCGGGTGAGGCGCGGGAGGGGGGAGGGGGCGACGATGTGGTTCATGTACGCGCTGAGCTGGCTCGCGCTCCTCATCCAGGCCGCCTTCGTCACCCTCGGCATCGGTGAGCGACCCCCGTCCCGCCCCGCGACCCC